TAAAAGATGAAAAGGTCACTCTTGTTTACTGTACCACAGAGGATATGGTGGCCGATGTTATGACCCAACCTGTTTCCAAATCGAAGTTGATTAAGTTTGCAAAGGCTATGTTCGCCACGTAGAAAACTCAATATGTGGCGTTCACTGTTTGTATGTAACCTTGATTACGTTTACATGTACATACATATTTTTGTTGCACAGTGTAAAAAGTCACTCATAAGTGGGAGTGTTGGGATTGTATGATTGCCTTTTTACGACTGAGCCAGTAGAGGGCAATATAGCTCTACTTTTGTTTCACAGTGAGTGACGTGGTCGGCCCTATAAAAAGGGAAACGCCTTTTCTTTTCGCCCTCTCCACCTGTTCAATAAAACACGCCGATGCATGGCTGATGAGAACACCTCGCTCAACTTGTCATTCTTGGATGTTAGGCAGAAGGATGCCAATCTGCACGCAGCTGTGAAGCGACTCTGCTCACAATAACTCACATTAGAACAATGATCAACAAACATTTCAAAAAAATTGAATGTGGCGTCGGGAGAAATGGGTGGACGGCGTACACCCGCGTACCACGCCCACTACACCCCTGCTCGTGACCTTATATTTTGGAAGTAAACTTTTTTTTTTGTACTCCATGTTATCCTCCTCTGCATTTGTGGGATCCGCTCCAGTTCCAGACTGTTCTGAAACCTAACAGAATTATCCGAGGATGGATCCCGCAACTCCATTCATCCATCAATTTTCTCATCCATTTGTCCTCACAAGGGTCGCAGGCATGCTGGAGTTTATCCCAGCTGTCTTCAGGAAATAGGCGGGGTCAACCCTGACGTTGTTTCGCAATCCCAGATGTGGCGTACTGTAAGACAGAAACGGAAATTATATCTCTGATAATATATTTCTAATTGTCCATGTCTTGTTGTTCGCTTTTTGATACGGAAATGTAGTGTAAAAAAATCATAACTCATAAATTGTTCAAGAGCTCTGGGATGAAGTTGAGTTTCCAGCTTCGATATCCATATTTTTGTATTCATTTCTGGAGTCACAGCACTAACACGCCGCTTCAGCAGCTCGAGTTTGCTTCCTTTTATTTGTGTTCGTCTTCCCGTTCTTCTTCACACATGAGAATGAAACGCAATTCAATGAACGTAAAGTGTCCGCACGTACATGGGAAAATATTACGACAGTGAGATAACATTCGTGACATTTCCGTAAACTGTACTTTATGGGATCCGAAACAAGATAAACACAAACATACTGACGTTTGAGCACAATATTGAACCGAACTCCTTAAAATAAATATGAGAGCACATGATTTAACACCCTGCCTTGCTCTCATCATCTGAAAAACAATTAGCCGGAACACAGCTTTTGAATTTGGCAATCGTAATTGTTCAGTTAATTCCGTTTTCCACGGCCCTCTGAATAGCAGTGGCGATTGCTCTCGGACTGCAAGGGAAGCTCAGCTTCCCCTAAAATGTCAAAGAATAAGTGATCAAATCATGAATGTAAATTTCATTGTGTGTACATGTCATTGACTAAATATGCGCTACAACGTGCTCAACTTTTGTTCCGAATCAGCTTCTTCTTACTGGTTACGACGCGACTCCCTTCTCGTTCATTCCCGCAGCTTCGCTGTGCTTTAAACGAGGGGTCCCCAACCGCCGGTCCGCGGAACGGGTCCGGTCCGCACGGCATTTGGTAACGG